CAGTGGAGCTATCATATTTCTTTTCCTGATCTGGCGACTATTCCCCTCGTTCGCTTGAGGAAGTTCCATGAGATAACTACTATAGAGAGTTTCAAGCGTATAGTGAAGCGCTTCATTGATCAGGTATAGCCTCATAGAAGATTTAGTCTTTTACTTGCATCTGTCTCCTTGAAAACGAATTTATTTTCCAGATATAGGGACACTCAGAGACATAGGTCTCTCTTATCCTAGCGTCATCTTGAGTAGAAAATTTGCTTGAAGGTCGGACCTCAATAAAAATGGGAACCCTTTGGACTCCCACTATTTGGGCTGTCTTTAAATGCAGGATGTACTAATATTATTGTGTGTCTGGGGCATCCATCGTAAAAAAAATCATAATTTCCTTGGTTTTTGTGATGCAAATTCAAATAAAACTATTATATGAAAAATAATGTCTGAGACAGTGACACAGTAATGGTTCCTTTGTTGGCCTTTGCAAACTCCCCAACATTGTTAATAAACTGCTTCCTCGGCCTCCATGGCTGGCAATCAAGTTAATGTGTTTACGAATTATCTTTGTGATGTGACAAAAAGGTTCTGTTGCTTGCACTGCAGGTGGAGCAAAACATTGAATTTGTGCGGAAGAAGAGAGACGAGGTGCCTTTTTCACCAAAAGATCAACAATCTGTAGAATCATTTCTCCAGGTTTGCAACCATTATGGTCGTTATTTTTATTACTTTGACGAATGCAGCTTGTTTTTTATATGTTAAATGGTTAATATGCAGCTAGAAAAGCATAGTGGCAATACTCCGTTTGCACAATATTATAAAAGCATCATCGACAAGGCTACTTCTAGAGATTTGGCTCTATTTGAAAAGGTGCAACATACTTAACCTTATTTTTGTGTTCTTACTGTTTTCGATTGACTAGGTATGGCACCTTGAATGTTAACTATGGGGGTAGTTTAGCTATTGCACAATGACATTTTTGGTGTAAAGGCAGTCAGAATCAACCTTTTCTTAGCAAACTCATTAAATTTTAATTCCTGTTGTGGTACTTGATGCAGTTCTCTGAAGCGGAGAAAATCAACAAGAAAACACAAAAGAAAACAAAGCGGCCTCAAAATGACAAGGTAACTGAAGGTGCCAATGGTAAACACTCGGAGAAAAGAAAGGCCAACGCGTCTACTAATGGCGGCAGCCAAGGAAAGAAAAGAAAGCAGCCTCAAAATGACAAGGCAGGTGCCAATGGTAAACATTCGGAGAAAAGAAAAGCCAATGCGTCTATAAATGGTGACAGACAAGGAAAGATGAGGAGAGAAGAAAAGTCTGAATCGTAAATCGTTCTGAAATGACCAATTCCTGAACCCTCATCAGATTCGCCGAGCAAATTTTGATCCTTCTGGTAATCATTTCCAGTTTTGATGTAGTCATTTAAGCTTATAGATATCTTATTGCAGAACCAGACATATTAGGTCAGTGTTCCCTATATCAACAAACACATATAGGCTGTTGCTTTGCTTGTAATGTTATGAGGAAAGTTTTGTTTAACGTACATGCAGAGGTGAACTCCCATTGCTAATGAGAAAACATTTCTTCTTATATCTTTTTCTATTGCTTTTTAAAACGGTGTTTTTCTTCCGAATGCCAAATGCCAAATGCTGGACGATGTCTTAAGTTCGTATATGTATGTATGTATGTATTGCCTTGCAGTCTTTGGTTCTAGAAAAAAGCAAAGTAGAAAAGGAAAAGAAGGCCGGCACTTGGCATATATAAATTATAAGCCGATACGAAATGCCACTACCAATCTGTGGTACATAATTATTATGAAATTATTATAATAAATCACGTATTTATGTGTATTTAGGCACACATAACGCGTTATTTGCAAATATTGTTTAATTTAAATTAAAGGGCATCAAGTCTGTTTTTAAAGTATTAACTTAGAGCCAGATCCTTCAATCAAGCTATGGAACAAGAGAAAAAATTATCAAGACACATTGTTATTTCCTTCATCTCTGTTCATATAGAGGTATAAGGTATTGTTCTAAAAATTCCTACCTAGCGCTGCTTAGGCCCCATTTAGGAGCTAGGCAGTGGATCACCACCCCGATTAATCCCTAGGGTTTTAAAAATTAAGAAAGGGTGCCTAGACTTGCTTAGGCATTCGCGTAGCCCGCCTAGGTTGCTACTCTCACTTATACAGAGAATTAAGCAAGGGTGCCTAGGTTGTGACTCTTACTTATTATACGATTGTTTCCCATGTTCTCAATATATTTTGGGAAGTGTTATTGGCACTCCAAAAATCTCATTTTACACCCGCAAGTGTATTTTTCTTTCTTAATATAGAAAGTTTGGAGTGTTGAATGATATTTTTAGAGTGCTAATATCAATTCCCTATATTTTAATACTTTGCAATTTATAGTTCATTATATTATGCAATTTACGTATCCCAATACAATTATGTATCTTTTTAAGTATAAATAAGAACTTATTTATACGATGTATAATAAATTTACTTAAATCCACATAATCTTTCTAGATGGACGCTAGACTCCGCCAACCGCCTGATTAGCTCCTAATATTTTTAGAATTGGTCGATGAAGATTTTGTCTTTGGTACTATGAGATGTTGGTTCGGTGGGCAAGACTTTGGAATTCTTTTTTGATGTCTGGGTTCGAATCTTCATAGCCAGCTGGTTGGGGCTAAACCTCTTTTCAGCGTCAGAGCATGCAGTGGGGCTAAATCCTCGACGAGATCCTCGATTTGTTCGGAACAAGTACTTCAGCCCTGTATTCTTTTGCCTGAGAAGATGAATGAAGGGGGAAATAGATCCTCTTTGGATCTCACCCATTATATGGCACCAAATTATACATGACCCTTGAATCAAGTATTTCAGCCAAATTATGTCAATCACCAATTTTTAAACAATACTCATATTTTAAACTACTCTAATTTGTAGATATTAGGAATTCAAAATTTGAGTGCAGGAGGGTGAACACACTGCCATGATCTACGTCTCCTACACAATTGCCATTGTTAGACAACAAAATAAATGTAATGTTAATCATACTCTTAGTTATGGGGTTCCAATTAGTCATATTCATTCATCCAATTACAAAAAAATAAAATTACAAAATGTAGGATTCTAATATTGCGAAAATTTGGTTATATAAGTCACTATCTTATATATGCTTCCTCATAATATTCTCCTATCCTCCCCATGTGTATAATACAATGAACATCCCACAAATTAAGATTGCAAGGTCAATCTGGGCTACCTAAGAAATCCCGCACGTGTGAGCTGAGCACCAATCAAAATTCGGCAACTCGAACTGACACCAGCTAATAAAGAAGGCCTTCCCTTACAACGGCGTCTGCATGTGGGCTGCCACACCCCACCGCCGCCCTCAACAGCCCCCACAACCCCTTTGTCCTACTATTACCATCACTTTTAATTCCCTTAGTACCCTTAGCCCCGGCAATCTCATCACTCTCTTCATCAAAGGACCTAAACATTGTCGAAGGGCTCCGCCGGCTCTGCCGGTTTTTTATGTCTTTCAGCTCCATCTCCGACGGAAGCCTCGCCATTTGAAACATCAAAACATACCACTTAGACTTCGACGGCGTTTTGGAAAGTATAGACACTTTATTCACCTCACACTTTCTGTAACTTGTCGGTGTGGGACTTTCCGGCTTCGAAGTCTTGGCCGTTTTGGAGGGTTTGGTTACCTTGTGGAAGTGGTAAGACCTCCACGACCTAAAAAATCCTTTCTTCTTCGAAAAGTTGACGCTTCTCGCGTTGCTTCCGGTTTCTTGGCTCTTGATCTTCTGATGACCTTTTTCTGCTGCAAATTTTGGTGCTTCTTTGTTGTAGGGTATGAGTTTTCCACAAAAGATTATGTCCTTCTCTGCTGGGTACGTCGAGGGGGTGAACTCCTCGCTGAAGAACTCAAAGAAGTTGTCTTCGTCGCGGTCGAACGATGAGCTTTGGTAGTCTTTGGAGAAGTCATCCCAACAAGCTGAGTCACTGTGTCTGGGGAGATCGCAGAGAGATAGGGTTTCCTCAGCTTCGTAGGGATCTTGGTCTTGGAATTGTTCTTCCTTTTCTCCTAGAGGTGCTGGGTTTTGCTGGGTTACTAGGGCAACCATTTTTTGGGACGTCCAACAGTGATCTACTGAGCTGGGTTTGTTGTGGTTTGTGAAGAGAGAGAACCAGAAGTACCCAAATATATATAAGAGGCTCACAAGTGAGCATATTCATATATTAAATTGGGATTCTTTGAGCCTTTTGTGGGTTAAGTTTTGAACTTTTGATAGGGATGACTTATTGGCTTCTAGATGGAAAGTCACAAAAGAAAATAGAAAAATAGTGGATTAAAAATAAAAAATAAATAAAAGGTTAAAAGGAGCAGACTGTTAGACGGAAAGTCACGTAAGAAAATAAGACGGTGTGACAGTATTCTTGAATTTACTTGCTCTTCTAGAAAAGCAGGCTATGTGGAAAATAATAAAATAAAAACGATAACGATAGGAAATTAAATTTATAAATAAAATTTACAAATTAAATGATGTGTTATTAATATAAATGAATATGTTTATTAACGTTTAAGTAATAATTTAATTATTAACTTTCATATCATTTAACTTAGGAAACTTTAACGAAAAGCTCTCGGTACTGTTCACTTTAACGAAAAACCACATCTTAAAACTAAAAAGTCAATTCTAGTACTATTCACTTTACCCTTGTTCTTATCGTTAAAACTCAAATTTATCAAGCCATTTTTATTAGTTTTCCTTTTAATTTATAAAATTTTGTCTACAAATTCAGTTTCCTTGACATTACCCAATAAAAAAGGTTGGGAGGGGGGACTTTGTGTTGAAGTCTTCTAGATGGGTTCAATGGGATGATATTTTCTTATGGTTCTTTGTTTGGATGTTTGTGTGTGTTTTTTTTTTTTTTTTTTTTTTTTTTGTTTGGAACAAGGAAATGCATTCCAAGGCCGAAGCCAAAAGGTACAAGAAAGCCTACAAGGAGGCAAACACCCAACAAGGCACAACTAAAAGAACAGAGATGAAAAGGATACAAGCAAAGACGCATCACCCCTAGCATCGCCACCACCTCTCAATGAAGACATGGGAAACCATCCTTATTCAAAACATGAATCATCGAAGATGGGGGCCGGTCGACCCAAACACAGTCACACATCTCCAAAAAACCAACCGACGTAAGGCAATGTGCCGCTAGATTGGCTAATCTTGGCACCCAAGACCGGCGACAGCTCTGGAAATGTTTGTGTTTGTTTATATCTATGAGGGCTATTTTTCTCGTCACCGCATGGTTCATTCCTTTTGGGTCAACATAGAGGAGGAGGAGGCTTCGTAGCTAGCCTACACCAAGATGATGATATGGTTTGTTTGTTTTGTAAGATAAAATAAAATATAAAAGCGTCTAGGACAACCTATAGAAAAGTTAAAGTGTTAAGGAATAAAATCAAGCCAAACACGATTTGAAGATGCTTAATTATGCTCTAAATCTGTTAATTTATCTCTGCCACAAAACTGTCTTATGTAAAAACATGAACAAAAGAAATACAATCAAACTTAGGAGCTTATGTTGATTTTCTAGTTGCTTGGTGATTAAAAATTGATGATCACTTAACCTGTAGATTTTAATTTTTACTTTTAATAGCAAATTTAAAAGTGATTGATCATGTATTTCTTAGGAATAACTAAATTACAAAGAGATCATCGCAGATTATTTTTTATTATGTGTTCTAGCTAAAATATATAATTTTTGTAGGATGGTCCCATCAACTTATAATATTATTATTTTTTGTTTTATAATATGGATATTTGATTAAATAATAATAATGCACCCTAAGAAGGGAGACACCCGTGACTTAAGAAAACTAAAAATAAAAAATAAAACAATAATATATAATAATATATTCACGAACTATAACATGAGAGAGGATTATTTCTTGATACTCATTGAGAGAATTTCGGGAATTTTTCAATCACATCCGTTAATCGTACATCGTGCAACTAGTTTTTGTTAGATATTGTTTATATTCAATTTTAAATAAAAAAATTACAATAATTTTTGACCTCATGATGTATGATGAACATATGTGATTTGAAGATTCCCAAAATTGTCACAAAGAGAATCCGACAAGAATCATCACTCCTATAACATTAATTGATGGAGAATAATATGAGATTTTTTTAATTAGTATTTTTTTATTATATGTTATGAAGGTATAATATGAGGACGGGTCGGGGGGTATGTGTGACTTGTATCCATAATGTATGGTATTGAGAATAAATCTCACATTAATAAAAGGACTTTGTATGAACTTATAAACAAATTATGCTACTCTTCATTTTGCCAATTAAATTTATAGTAGAACCTTAAATTCCTTCGCATAGGCCGTCTCATTTGATAATTGTATAGTAAAATACGTATTCTAGATTTTTGGCATACTTCAAAGTAGGGGTGGAAAATTTTGCCATAAACGGATTTACCGACCGAACCATACCGGTTGGCTCATAATGGTATGGTATATAGTTTTGGCATTTTTTTATAATCGGTTGGCATTTTACCAAACCGACAATTAATGGCATGGCTTTGGTAATTGATTTTGTATGCCGGCGGTATGCCATACCTACCAATATATATATATATATATTTTCCTTTCTATTTAGATATTTTAGTTATTTTTTACATGCTTGACTGTTGACTCCTTAGTTTTAGGGTTTAAAAAATATATGTATATGTATATGATTCATGCCATAATAAATATAGAAAATATTGTTAACAAAATTGATAGCATGATGATTACTGATACTATATATACATGTACATATATATGATTTTGAATGTATATGTGTTGCTTATGTTTAGGATGATGGAGTCTAGCCAATCAACCGCTAGTGCACAACATGGATTAACCCAAAATGAACCACACAATGCAATAGAACAAGCACCCCAATCTGAAAATCAAAATGAGCCTCTGTAACTAGAAGATAGTGAGGAAGAAGTGGAAACCACCGGTTGTGCCATTTACCAACCGAACCAGACAATAATTTTGGCTAAACCGATTTTTGGCAACAGCAAAAAGACGGTTAGCTAGCGGTAATTGATTTTTTGTAATTATGTATATGTGGCTGATATGTGGCACAAGGAATTTGGCACGGTTTTTCAACTGCACCCAGCCCTACTTCAAAGCACTAAAAATGGGACAAGGATTGTCTGCCCTCCTATTTTTGGTGCCCTCCCATGCCCTCCTGTTTGTGTGGTCACGGTTAAGCCACGTCAACATTTTATATTACTATTCATTTTTGTCTTAATTATTATCTCTATAAAAAAACAATATAAAACGTTAACGTGGCTTAACCGTGACCACACAAAACAGGAGGGCATGGAAGGGCACAAAAAATAAGAGGGTAGACAATCCTTGTCCCTAAAAATGATCAATAATGTAGTCAAGCAGTCTAATCAATAATCAATGCCACATTTTATGGAGGGAAATGAAAATCGATCTAGCTAAACACTGTTTTCAACTTCTCGAACAAAATTTGTTAGTTAAGGTCAAAACAATGTCCAGTAATATCATCATGGCATATTTTTTCCTTAGACCATCTTCAATCCTTGGGTTAAAACTTAAAATTTTTAGTCCATAAAATTTTAGGTTTTAACCCAAAAACAGTTTTTTTGCTCAAATCATTTTGAATTAAAAATTTAGTCTCATATTAAAAAATGAATTTAGGCTAATTTTTTTCTTAAACTAACTTTTTTAAAAGAAAAAAAAGTATGTAGACTATCCTAATTTAATTTTATGAACATTTTAACCTAAAAATATTTAGATTCTAACAAATATTGAAAAATCACTAACCGACATCATAAAACTTGTTAAACACTATGAAAAAAATATGAAACACATAAAAGAATTTTTTTTTAAATTACTTTAGCCATTAAATTTAAACTTGGACCGTTAAATATTTTTTTTTACCATTGAATTTCATCAAATTAGATCTTAACCGTTGGATTCAATGAATTTATAAATATAAAACTAAAAAAAATATAAATATATAGTGGGTCAGCCCCACTAATCCTGGGCTAAATTTGCCCCAAAAATGAGTTTTGATTTTTAACTCATATTTACCCCAAGGGTTGGAGCAAGTTGGAATAAGTTTAAAACCTAAAATTTGAGTTTTACTTCAAGGGTTAGAGTAGGTCTTAGGAAGGGGAAAAACAAACTTTTTGAATTTACTCTAGTGCGTTGGGTGACAATCATACCGTCATGTGGTATTACACAGTAACGATTCATCTTATAACATGTGTATTTATTAATAAATTATACTCAAAGTCTATTAATTACCAATTATGCTGTCAGCTTATATTAATTGAAATTAGTAATACTACGTGAGAATGTAGTCATGACGCTAAAATAAGTTTTGTTGTTTTTTTAAAATTTATTATTATTAAGAGGAATGAAGGTTCAAAAATATTACAATAATCTCGTTGTTTTTTTTTTTCTTTTCAAATTTCGTTGTTAGAAAGAAAGCTCAATTGGTTCCTTTTGGTTTAATAGTTCAAGAAGATACGACAAATTGTGTGAATGTATGAAGAGGCTTCAAAGACGTGTTGTTGTGTTGATCAAAAAGCAAAAGCTAGTTATTGCGTTCAACTCTTAAAGTCCAAATAAGTCGTAACATCTTATATCGTCAAACAAATTTGCGTCGGATTCGTCCTTGTTGTCCTTATGCATAGGAAGTCCAGAAAACTACTAATCAGAAAGAATATAGACTAGTCAAGTTTAGGAATCAAATTAACTTTGATTAAGCAGCATCGTATCCCAGTGAAGCCGTTTGCTAACAGTTTAATTATTTCTTGGTTAACTTGTTTACTGGTTAACTTATCCCTTCATTGCGTGGTCTTCAAGGTATTCTTGCTAGTACTTCAGTCGCTTCAAACGTTGTTTTGAAACGCAGTCTAAGTTAGGGTTCATATTATATGGTAAGGAAACTGATATTACATGTACAAATGAGCACTAGTAGAAAAACACGTTTGCGTGACGAAATCTTGCGCGACGGAGTAAATTTCGTTGTGCAAAGTATGTTTGCGCGACGCAAAACACAAAACGTCGCGCAAAATATCTTTGCGCGACGTAGAAACTTCAGCGTCGCGCAAAGTTGTTTTGCGCGACGCCTGTCTACGTCACGCAAAGTCCTTTTGCGCGACGT